AGCAGGGACAGGGCAGCGGCTCGCACGGCGCCACCAGCGCCGCTGCCTCACGCGTCCCCTGGAGCCCTTATTTCCCTTTCTTTCTCCTCGTTCAGCTGTGAACGCAAGTGAAGGGGAACACGCAGCTGACGCAGTAAGAGAAGCCTGAAATCACGGACCAGGAACAGCGGCAGAACCGGATCCAGAGCCTGGGTGCAGTAAAATGATTTCCAAAGTCTTATTTTTTATACATAAGGAGCCAGTGGTTAGTAATCACGTTTTTCTCCAGAACAGCATTAGGACCTTACCTGCAATACTACACTGCAGCTCTGCAAAACAAAGCATTAAAAATCAAAACAAAACAAAAACCCCCCAAAACAGGAAACAAAAATATGCTATCAAAGATACAAGACTTCAGCTTTCTAGGCATATGAGTAAGACTTAAAACCTACATATACACATTTTGAAGCATCAGACCTGCACTGGGGAAGTATAAAATAAGATTCTGAAATAACAAGTCCACAGCTTGCAGGTGGTGGAGGTCTTTATTGAGATTTTAACACAGATACACTTCTATAGTTACCTTTCCACTTTTATACAATAGTTAAAAATGCTTGCTATGGTGCACATAATTTATTAAATCAAGAGAATCCAAAACTTAACTGCAAATCAAATAAATAAATAACCTAATGTTTAAGTTTAAAAAGTAAAAGGAACTGTACAATATGAAAATATAACAATACATAAACATTAGATTCTACTTCTTTGTAGAAATAAAACTGCAACTTCTTATACATAAACAGTGCAAGAAATAAAATTAAAAATAAGCTTTCTCGATTGGGAATTTAAATGACTTAATTCTTAAATTATCATGCAGACATAGCATTTTAAGCCATGCTGGTTTGTAATATAGTGTTAACGGTATCCCTTTTATTTGAGAACTGATAGCCACTAAGCTCACTCTGACAACTGCTGCCAATCCACTCTTTTCTACAGTACATTATACACAGAGGTATTCTGTTGCATTCAAAAAGTAAAATAACATGTTGCTACAGCAAAACCAGTATTTTACTTTTTCCCTCCCCTCCAACATGTTAGCTGGTTGAAAAAAAAAAAAAGTCATATAACCAAGTAGAGCAACAATTTCCCCCAGTTTAGATAGAAAGAAAAAGTCACACTATATAATGGACCATCATCAACACGTGGTTACTGCCTAGTCACTTTTAAAGTTCAGAATTTATTACTAAAGAAAGTTGACATGGTAGAGACGTAATAAACTTTCATCTTTTGTTGAGAAGTGTCGAGTATAATAAAAGTGAAAAAAATAGAAGTAATGGTTATCTTCTATGTGTATGTGGAACTAATTACATACCGACTTGATTAAGTGTTGTTCAACTTAAGTTTCTCTATAAAATTGTCATTGAAGCAAAGACCAAGGAATGCAATTAATACCAAACTGTAAACACGTCATTCATGTTACTTGGAGTGCACATCGACAACATAAGAGTTCTTCTCAGACTTTGGCAACAAGACTACAATAGGTCACAGCAGCATGAGTTCACATGGAAGACTGAAAGCACTGCAAAAAGAATATACTAAAAACACCAAGACCTCCAAGAAATCAGAAAAATCTGTGACAAGTGCCTGTCCTCTTGGCAAGACACTCTCCTGGTCAACTGCTGCTCTCTGAAAGCCTAATTATTATTTTATTACTTATTTTACAGGTTTGTAGTCTCATGTCTCTGTGCTTTAGCTGCATAGGTTGCCTATATTTGCACTCTAACCGTTGTAGGTCCAGAGGGTTACAGTTCTGTCTGCAGAAGACGACAAGAAGGAAAGGTCTTGCGTGTGCCATCTGCACTGAATAACTTTGTCCTTGTGCTCCCCTACCACCATAAGAGGAAGTTGCTTCGTAAGGTCCCCTGCGGCAGAGGAACAAAAACAGTTACTTATTTTGTGAAATCACATCCTAATTCTCTTTTTCCTCATTTAGGAAGAATTATACATGCATTCACTTTATGAAGTGCACTTCACAACTGCACTTCAGAGATAGTAACTTAAAGGCTACTGTCAACTCTATTAACATTAAAAAAAGGGTTGGTTCAACTGGAAACTGTATTTTTCTGTACGTCAGTACATACTGCCCCACACTCTCATCCACACAGAATTGCACTGCATAGCACAAGACCCTGATGTTTCGGTTTTTAGATGTAACTGGATGCAATTAAAAAAATATATATATACACACACACAAAAATATGAAATACATATAGTCAATTGTCTAAATTCTGCCTGACAGCAAAGGCCAAATCAGAAGTCAACAGCAGTAAATATAGTTCATTGACTATAATCAGAACCCTTCCCTAACCATTTAGTCAACAACCTACATTCTTAGCAGTACAACTGGTTAATTGTTAACTGACTAAAATCACATCTATGTACATTTCAAATCTCTTAAGCTCTACTATTTTTTTAAACCAAAAACTAAGCACTGACGCAAATTCTCTTACAGCTTCAGTATTAAAGCCATCAAAAGGAACAATAATCTAGTACCCCTAGGCACGTTACCTTGCAAGTCTGTCACCTTTATTTTCATATCATAGGATCCTGTGAGCAAGTAGTGAGCCCCCGGGGAGAAGCGAACGGAACGCACGTCGCTGGAATGCGGATGATAGTTCTGCACCATTCGCCCTCCTCGGATATCGTACAACATGCAGCTGGAATCCTCTTGTCCCGTAGCCAGGAGACGACCACTAGGATCGACGGCTACCGAGGCTACAGCACTTCCTTTAGGAGAAGGAAAAATAAAAATACTAGTTTGAATTTGCTTACATAGCCCACATTCTTTTCAACAAGAAAACACATTATATGGGAACATAGAATGCTGACCTTAAGTTTATTGTGTACAAACCTATGTACCATTATCTTAGCTGTTTTATGCTAGCACTCTTAAGCCACAAGAAGCCATGCTGAATCCACCATGCTGGAGTGGCGGCAAAGCCACTCTTAACATGGCATGAAAAGAAACCAACCATTTCATCATAGGAAAGAAAGTATGTAAAACAACATAGAATCCTGCAAGGGAGCTTTTTTTTTTTTTTAATTTGAGTTTATTGCCAAATACATTTCAAATACAAAAGACTGTTTCAAGAAACATAATCAGCTAGTTCTTGAGATCCCCTGCAGACTTCCACAGAGGACACTGATGACTTAAGTATCACCAACTTCTCTCCATTCCCTTTTGAAACTGCTACTTGGTAGCTGGCTTTATTTCTAAGTACTGGAAAGTGCCCATTTTACACTCAGAAGGTAAAGAAATAGTCATTTTTTTAAAAGGACAAAATGAAGAGATCATTTTTTTCTTTTTAAAGGCAACTCTTCATTCTGTCATGTAAAACACATATATTCACAATATACTACTTAGGCATCTTTAAAATATACTTTTAAGTAAGCACTATCAATAGCACAATTGCAATAGCCTTACCTGTTCCATGAAAAGTTGTTCCCACGACACGAACACAGCTTGGCACTCTCAGATCCCAGAATCTTACAGTCTTGTCTTGGGATCCAGATGCAATCATCCAACCACTCCACGTATAAAGTGCTAATATATGACCTGTGAACAAGGAAACTTCTGTATTTGATTGAGGATCGTTAATAAAATAATCTTGTTCTGATAGTTCATGCACTTGGACAGATAAGTCCTATGAACTGTACTGTATATTGTACAGTTCAAAATACCAACAGCGTAAGAGAATGCTCTGCTTCATGTCTTCTTTGGAATGCAGCATGGAATGTCCCCATTGAATTAATGGCCCATATATCAAAATAAAATATTTCAACAACTCAATAAGAATTGAAGTCACTTTTGGGATGAAAAAAGCCAAAAGGACACATAAATATGACATTTTTATAACAAACCTTGTTAAAGAACAACATACATTTAAAAAGCAAGGCAGAAAGCAATAACATACATACCAGTATGACCACTTAGAGCGTGCAGACCTTGTCCTCGCTGACAATCTGTTGTGTAAATATTACAGTCCCCAGCACCAGCACTTATTAAAATAGCACCACCACTTTCTGGACCCTCCATAAAAGCAAGATCTCTGATTGTCCCATCATGCATACTGAATTCCAAATCTGGTCCTATAATAATAATAATTAAAAAGAAAAAAAAAAAACACTAAAAAAGGCATACCTTATTTTGCACAGTTAGCACTACAATCTTTAAAGCCGTTATAATGTAGAATTTCATAGACAAGAGTGGGCATACACTGCTTTATACTTCCCATAGAAGATACCATTTCAGTTACTAGACTGCAAATAAAAATCTTCTCAAATTTTATTTTCATTGAACATGCTCGAGCTTCCTGCAATTCCTCATGCTGTGCAAAACATATACAGACCATCTCCGCAGCCAGTTCCAGCCACGATATATAGAAAAGATAGTAAATCACCAGACCTAAAAGCCTTTCTCTGCCGAGGAGCATTGGAAACACAGAAATGCATAGGGTGAGATAGTTTTTCTGGTTTGGACTTGGACTAAGAGCCATACTTATGCTATCTTTTAGGAGGGCTGGGACTGTAAGATAGCATTTTCTGGATAAGGAACCTCAGATTTCTTTTAGGTGGAAGAGAAAATGACGGTAAGATGGAAATGAAAATATATTGTCGCTGACAACTGATAATCAGGTAAAACATGTAGTTGTTTCCTCTTCTATGAGGAATCTACCAAAAGAAAG